TATTATTTTTATTAAACTCAGATTTTAATTTGGTTTTTTGTAAACAAAATAAAATCTGTTTTTAATTTCGGAGTTTGATTTTTTGTAATCAAACAAATTCTCTTATTTCTTTATTTTTTTTTATTCTGGTTGTTGTTTATTAACACAACAGAACTTAATCTACTTAAATCAGTTGAAGATTGTCCTATATCTTAAGACAGATTTCTTATTTTTGTTTTGGTATCTTCATTGTATTTTAATTTTCTGTGTTTTCAAAGTAATATTCTGGTTGGAAAAAACATGGTATTTATACTATTTGACAGATAAGTAAATATACTGTCTCTTCTGACAACTATTAGTAATATGCTTGGTCATCATACAATTACAGATATTATTTGGATGTACAAGAAATTATTTTGTATTTTATTTTCTAGTTTTAGTAACAAGGGAAATAAAAATTATATTATTTTCTAGTCTTTTAGTAACAAAGAAATAAAATTATTTGTATTTTAATTTATTTTCGGTTTTTGGTAAACTAGAAAATTATTTTATTTTTTTCTGATTTTTTATAATCAGATAGCTTTGTGGTATTTTTATTTTCTAGTTTCAGTAACAAGGAAAATAAAATCTATAGTATTTTCTAGTTTTAGTAATAAGAAAAATGAAAGTTTTGTGTTATTAATTTATTTTCTGGTTTAGTAAAATTAGAAAATTAATTTGTTGGTTTGGTTTTCTGATTTTTGTAATCAGAATATTATTCGCGTATTTTATTTTATAGTTTAAACAAGCAAGGAAAAATAAATTATTTTAGTGTTATAATTTATTTTCTGGTTTTAGTAACTAGAAAAATTAATTTTGTTAATTTATCATAGTTCTTTTGACTTTATCGTAGTACATGGGAGAATTTGTTATGGAGTAAAATATTAATTTTACAAAACAAATTCATTTTATACAAAAGAAATCTTTGTGACAAGTTTAGTTTCTTTATTGGTTTTTTGAATCATTTTTAAATTTCTATTTGAATTTTATACGTTCGTGAATATTTCTGCATATGAGTCGGAATAATACATATATATATATATAATATATGATTCACAAGGACTTTTGATGCATAATTTAATTAGTTTATTTTAGTAACAAATCAAACTTATTAATGAAGGCATTTTGTCATTGTTGGAGTTTAAAATCAAAACGCATTGAATTTTATTTATGAGTTGAGAATCTTTTTTTCATGATGCAAATTTTGGGATCTTACATGATTAATTTATTTTGTTTAATTCATTATTTTTAGTTCATGCGTTTGATATACATGTATGATGTCAACTCAAGTTATTTCTTAACAAAAATTTCATGTGATTTGGAATGTTAAATTGATATGTTATTAATTTGAGTTTTTCCAATCAATTTTGAATGGGTGTTTAAAACACCAGAGAAATTTAAACATGAAGATGTATGTAGATTATACGTTCCATTTAATTGGAAAGTAAATTAAGAAATTTTTATGTTGATTTTAGTTTATTTTGAATTATGTGACATGAGATTGTCATTAATAATTATTTTACTTACGTAGTAGAATTTTTAACCATGAATGAACCATTTTATTAATATGGGGGTATCTCTTGCATTAGATGAGAAATTTAATTTTCTTCTGTCACAAATATTTTTATGACAGTGACATTTATTTGTTATTGAGTTGCAAGAATGTATACAATCAAATGGGTTTTGAATTGTGTGATTCTTAGGCAAAAATTATGAGGATATGATTTTGCAAAACATAAATTCTGAGCGTTGATAGTCATGAATTATGTTTTGTTTTCTGTGCAATTTATTTGAAATTTATGATTGTATATCAGAATGTAATAGGTGGTGAATATGAGCACCATTAGATGAATTTTGTGCAACAACATGGCATTATTCACCAAACTGCAGCCCCTTATTCTCCACAGCAAAATGGAATTGCGAAAGAAGAATAGAACCCTAAAAGAAATGATGAATGTCATATTACTAAGTTCAAGCTTACCACAGAACTTGTGGGGGGAAGCAATATTGTCTGCTAATTATGTTCTTAATCGAATACCCCACAAGAAAACCAAAAGCATTCCTTATGAATTGTGGAAAGGTCGACCACCTTCCTACAAATACTTAAAAGTGTGGGGGTGTTTGGCAAAAGTTGAAGTTCCTGTTCCTAAAAAGACTAAGATTGAACCAAAAATAGTAGACTGTGTGTTTATTGGTTATGCTCAGAATAGTAGTGCATATCGGTTTCTGACTTATAAATCAGAAATACCTGATATAAATGTGAACACTATTATAGAGTCAAGGAATGCTGTGTTTTTTGAACATGTCTTTCCTTATAAGAAAGGACAGGAATTAAGTTCACAGAAAAGAACTTATGATTGTACACAAAGTCAAGAGACTAATTACAATCAAACACAAGAGACTAGTAATAGTCTCAACCAACAGGATTTAACTGATGATGAACCAAGACGAAGTAAGAGAGCGAGAACATCAAAATCCTTTGGTCCAGATTTTCGGACATACCTGTTAGAAAATAAACCTCAAAGCTTTAAGACAGTAATGACAGGTCCTGAAGCACCTTTGTGGAAAAAGGCTGTTAATAATAAAATTGAATCCATTATGTAAAATCATACTTGGAAATTGGGGGATCTTCCACCAGGTCCTAAACCTCTTGGATATAAATGGATATTTAAGTGAAAAATGAAAGCAGATGGTTTAATTGACAAGTATAAAGCAAGACTTGTAGTTAAAGGTTACAGACAAAAGGAAGGTCTGGACTATTTTGACACATATTCCCCTATGACAAGAATAACATCCATTCGCATGCTTATTACTATAGCAGCGTTGTTTAATTTAGAAATATATCAAATGAATGTTAAAATAGCTTTCTTAAACGGTGATCTAAATGAAGAGATCTATATGGAGCAACCCGAAGGGTTTGTAATGTCAGGGCAAGAAAAGAAAGTTTGTCGACTTGTAAAATCCCTTTATGGATTAAAATAAGCACCTAAGCAATGGCATGAAAAATTTGATCATGCAATGCTTACTAATGGGTTTAAGATAAACGAATGTGACAAATGCGTCTATGTTAAGAACACTGACCAATGATATGTCATAGTTTGTCTTTATGTGGATGACATGCTTATCATTGGAAACAGTCAAAACATGATCAAATCAAACGAAGCAGATGCTTAACAAAAGATTTGATATGAAAGATATGGGGGTCGCAGATGTTATATTAGGAATGAAAATTACTAAAACATCTGACGGATATGCATTATCTCAATCACATTATATTGAGAAAATTCTTGATAAATTTATCAAGGATGATATGAATTTAGCTAGAACACCTGTAGACGTCAACCTTTATTTATCGAAAATAAAGGTGATGCAGTGTCTCAGTTAAAATACTCTCAAATCATTAGAAGCCTAATGTACCTAAGGAATTGTACTCGTCCTGATATAGCTTATGCTATCAGTAAATTGAGTAAGTACACTAATAACCCCGGAGAAGACCATTGGAAAGCGATCATTCGGGTTCTTAGATATCTAAGATTCACCCGTGATCATGGTTTGAACTTTACTCGATATCCAGCAGTACTTGAAGGTTATTGTGATGCAAATTGGATATCAGATACTAAAGATTCAAAATTCACAAGTGGATATGTCTTTACTCTAGGAGGCGCTGTTGTTTCTTGGAAATTCACGAAATATACATACATCGCACGATCCACATTGGAATCCGAGTTCATTGCTTTGGACAAAGCAGGAGAAGGAGCAGAATGGCTTTGTCACTTCTTAGAAGACATTCCAATGTGGCCAAAACCTGTGCTAGCTATTTGCATTCATTGTGATAGTCAATCTGTAATTGGTAGGGCATAGAATCATATGTATAACGGTAAATCACGACATATTCGTCGTCGACATAATACCGTTAGGCAGTTGTTGTCAAACGGAATAATCTCAATAGATTATATAAAATCTAAAGAGAATATTGCGGATTCGTTAACAAAAGGTTTGACAAAAGAGTTAGTGTATAGTTCATCGAAGGGGATGGGATTAAAGCCTATTACATAAGAGTCGTCATAATGGTAACCCTACTTATATGACTGGAGATCCCAAGAACTAAGTGCAAAGGGACAACTAAATTATGTATGGCTCGCCAGAAATCACCAAGGGATTAAAATTTCCCTACCCATTCCTATGGTAAGAGTGATATCTGCAAGGATAAGCTTTGCTTTTAATGATTAGTTATATCTTGATTGAGGCATAAATCAAGACGAGTATAAGGAGATATTCACAATAAGAATCACCTGTATGAGTGTTGAACTGGGGCCGGTTCTATGAGAATGAAGAGGCTAAATTCTCTAGAAACACTTATGAAAACCAGGCGCGTTCATGGCCAAATGAACACAACAGTGAGAACCACGATGTGTTAGAAGATATTTTGTGTGAAATTTATTGTCTTGGCTTACACGAACGGCTGAACAATTCAAGGCATCGCATCCATTAGTTAGCCAGTAAGTCCGATAGGTTATCACTAGGGAAGGTTCAAGGCCGAAAGCTACCTATCCTGATGCAAGATATTTTCGACTTATACTCTTTCGATAGTCTGCATATTGTTGCATTTCCGTTGTCATCAAATTTCATTCATGTGGGGGATTGTTGGAAATGGTTATAAATTATGGGTAAAACCAGAATTTTATCCTAAGTTCGGCCTATTTTTTAGGTGGGCCCCGTGCATCGATTTTCACGGGTCAAAGTGGTAACGTGTTCTATGCCGCGTTGTGATTCACGTGGTATATTTGGTTGCTCAAAACCATTATCAAGTGAATGGGAAATTGAAGCCAAAGTGTGCTCCATGGAAATGGAGTTTTGGTAGAAATTCTATAAGGTTGTAAAATGGCTTGTCCCACATTAATTTGGTGGGAAGTTTTGAATAGGTTTATAAGGCTTGGGTTTGGTACTTGAGGTGTGCCCCAAGGGGTACCCAAGTGTTTTAGAGGGAGAGGTTATGGGCAAAATGGGCTAGACCCATTGGACCTAAAAATCACCACACACGTGCGCACACCGCCGCCGCCGTCCGTCCGGTCGGGCGGGCTGGGCTGGGCTTGGGCGCGGGTGCGTGGTGTGAGGTTGGGCCAAAAACATTTGAATTTAATTTTATTTTGTATAAAATAAAATCTAGAATTCTAATTAAACCGGAAACAAACTGGTTTGGTTTTACTGTACATCCAAACAGGGCCCTTCCCGAAATAAACTAGTCTGATTTTTAACGTACATCCAAATAGGGCCGTTCCTCGTTTTGTGTCTGTTTAAATCATGAACCCAATAGATTTAAATCTGTTTGAATTCAAAACCAATAGGTTTCATACTTGTTCAATTCAAAACTAGCAGTCACCTTTACATCTATAAATAGGCTAGCCTCCCATTTGGATTTTACTCCAATTTTCGTACTCCATCCTCTGCTATAAATCTCTGGTGCTTCATGGAAATGGAGTTTTGGTAGAAAAGAAAGAGTGTAAACACTTAGTGTGTTCGTAAGGCAAACAATTTGTAGTGCTGCTATTGTTTGTAGTAGATCATTTTATCTTGGGAGATAGACGACCAATTTCTGAAAGCACCGTGGAGATGACGAATTTGTCTTAAGGACACAGTGTCAAACACTGGACTTGATCATATTATAATTCGAAAAAATTAAATCAAGTAAGTTATTTAAATTATTTTCAGTGTTATTATTATTTATTTAAATCATATTTTAATTTTATTTTTGTAACAAAATAAAATCTGTTTTTATTTATTTATTTTTAATTTCGAGTTTGATTTTTGTAATTAAACAAATTCTCTCATTTCCTTTATTTCTTTATATTCTGGTTGTTGTTTAGTACACAACAGAATTTAATCTACTTAAATACAGTGAAGATTGTCCTACAACTTTTGCATTTCATGATGTTTGAGATGCTATGTGTAAATCATATGTCAAATTTTCATCAATTTATATAATAGATTTTTAACAAGGTAATCCTTTAATATCCTATCGTATGGCAATAAAAAAAAAAATTTAAATAGTGAAGCGTGGCATTTTTTTAGTTAAACTAGTGATGCAAGGCCATGTTTGGAGAGCGACTATAACAATCAAAAAAATCAAAAAGTTATTATAAATTATTATATTACCGCTCTCTTTTTTTTTTGTATGTATTTTTGTAAAAAGCTACAAAATTAACTAAAATAATAAATTTTTAAATCAACCCTAAGTAATAATAGTTCAAGGGATGAAAATGTAATTTAGCTATACATATAATTTTGAGTTAGGTTGTTTGTTTGGATGGGCTGGATAAAAGCAGACTGTAATATAATAGATTGTTAGTACTAAATAAATAGTCCTTTGACGATTTGGCTATAAATGATGTGTGCTTGACTATTATTAGTCTGACCTTTAATAACTAACCAAACAATGAATTAATAAATTTATTGAATATAGAGTCCAATCCTTAGGGCTGAGTAAGGAATCTAAAAAATTCACAATTCGAATCGGTTCAGTCCAATTCGATAGATTTTGATTTGATTTTTTTAAATCCATAGTTCAGTTCTGATTTGAAAATTTGGGAAATTGGTTTTCGTGGATTGGCTTTGTATTTGAGTTCACTGCTCCGGATTAGAACGGAACTGAACCGTATGTAACTTAAACCATAATTTTACTTTTATAATTGTTGTTGTCACAACAAAATATTTGTTTGATCGGAGTTATACGTTTGTTATATGTTGAACAATATACTTATTTATTAGATATTATATTTGCTTAAGTTATATTTCGAAAAATTATGGGTAAAGTAATATTAAACAATTTATGATAATTTGAATTTTTTAAAAATGTTATATGATTTTTCTTGTAAATAGATTATGTGAAATTGTGATTTCAAACTATGCCGAATCGTGTTTAAATATTTTGATTTGGATTAGTTTCATGATTTAAATAGATTGGTTTAGTTCCAATTTTTATAAAATCATAGACAATGATTTAGTCTTAATTTTATCCCAAAGTAAATTAATTCAAACTATGCTCATCCCTACCAATCTTACATTTTAATATCATGAAACAAACGTTCTCTTAGGCCTATTTTAAAAATAAGATTAAAAGTCAATTTATTAATTTTTTAATTTTTTTTAAATCATATCATCTTTTTTAATTTTTTATACATTTAAAAAAAAAATTTAAATCAAAATATTAACTTTTAAGAGCACAAGTCTGATGTTTTGTGTGCGTGTGGGGTTCAATCCAACGGTCGAAAAGTGGACGAACTCCACGTGAAGAGGACAAAAAGCACCACGTTCGCGCCACACAAAAGATGCCATCGGCTGACACGTGTACTTTTTTTTAACAAGCTGACACGTGTACTTGAAAATCTAATTTCGGCACACATTCAGTGCGTGTGATTTCAATTTTTGAAAATTAAAATTTTCTTTTTGTTTTTTGTTTTTAATAAATATTTTTTAAATTTTAAATATTTTTTTTAAATTTTTTTAGATATACCTTACTTAGTATATCTAAATAATAAATTATTATGAAAAAATATTTTAAAAAATTAATATACACAAAAATATGAAAAAATATAATATATTTTTATATTTTTGTATTAGTAAATTTTTAAAGATTTTGTCACAAAATATTTACTTTCTAAGTGTATTTATGTTAAGCATGTCTAAAAATTAAAAATATTGCTTAAAATATTAAAATAATTCAACGAAAACAAAAAATACGGAAAACGAAAAAAAAAATTTTTGAAAATAAATTCTGAAAAATTGAAAATAAACAGAGTGATTGAAATTTTCGATATTCTTTAAAATAATATATTATATAATATATATTTTTGAAAAATTGAGAATTTGACTATTATAATAAAATAATAAATAAAATTTTCTTTTTTATCAATTTAAATTATAATCTTTTAATTTATTTTTAATGTAAACTATTATCTATTTTCATTAAATAAAACTCATAAAAAAATAATATTTAGTCATTAAATTCATAGTTGTCAATCTCGTATTGTACCGCGCAATACGTACATATAGGAGAGAACAGGAATACAAATAAACCAATACCATTTCGATTAACTTCTCAAAGGAGGTTTATGGATTCAATCTTCTAAAGGAAGTTAAACTAAGGAACTAAGCATTAGGCTAGTTTGATGTTAAATAAGCCAAGTCAAAAAGTCATATCTTTTAAGTCACATCTCTATTTAATCACTACCTCTTAACCTAATCAACCAACCAAACCCACAATAAGTCAAAATCACTTTTAGGCATCTAAACCACCTTAGTGTTTTTAAAGGTGGGAGAGGTTAATTCCCACATATACTAGTCTAATAATTAACTAAAGGCAGTTAGGAGTGTAAATTTGGCTCACTGGCCCGCAACTCCTATTGAAGCCCAAGCCGAGTTTAGCCTGAGACCTGGGCTTGGGTGGGTTGCATGTTCGAAGCCTGGCCTTGCTCGTGACCCGACTTGCTATGCCCTAGCCAAAGCCTGACCCATCAGCCCACTCAAGGCTCGCCCGCACGAGGCCAATGCATTTTTGATGAAAAAAATAAAATTTTGATAGAAAAAATATATAAAAAAAATGGTCAGTCCTAGCAGCCCTAGCGCCTGAATACCCTCTGGGCTGGCCTATGCTAATTTTCTGGTACATGGGTTGGTCTTGGACTTGAATTTTGGCGGCGGAGCCCGCCCGGCCGCACCAATAGGCCGACTTGAGCTCAGGTCCAGGTGGATCGGCGGGTCAGTCCTGACCCAAATTATACCCTAAGGTAGGGGTGGATATCGCCGTTAGCCTGCCCAACTCTATTTTTTTTAGGAGTTAAGATATAATTTTAGCCCATAGGGCTAGGTTGGGTTGATATTTTCAGCCCAATTAATAAATGGACAAGGTTTGGAAATTGTACTTCTGGCCTAACTTGGTGTTGTATTTAGCCTCTGGTTTGGCTTATATATATAAGTCAAAAGTCAAAGTTAGTTCCAAAATCCAAAAGAGCATATATTCACCAAAAAAAAAAAATTAAAAAACAAGTTTTCTTCCCAAAAAGCTACAATGTGATGATGTAAAGCACGGTGTTGCAGAAAAATGAAATGATTCGGTGTGATTTTCCACACACCGTTTGTTTCTCCCATGGGGGCCATTTACGGGGTCCCGTTTTTGATAATCTGAACCGTTCAATGTGTAGAAATCGTTGAGTACTATATGTCTACAAAAAATCACATTGATCGGATATCGATAACTATATGATCAAATCAGTTATATACAACAAATGGATGGTGTTATAATTAATGATTGAAAAATAAATAAATCTGATCAGATAGCTATCGATATCCGATTAACGTGATTTTTTATAGGTACTTAGTGTTCGACGAGTTACACACATTGAACGGTTCAGATTATTAAAATGGGACCCGTGATGACCCCCACAGGCCAAACAAAACCGTCCAATGCTTTGTACAAAAATTAGCCAATAATTTTCAACTCAAATTACACAGACGGTTGTACAGCCGGTTGTACAGCTGGGGCCCACTCCTCTCTTATCATCTCTTACACACTTTTTTTTATACAATTTTTTAATACACATTTTTTCATAAAAAGTCAAAAAGTTAACCCAAACCTCCATATTTTTTTTTGTCTTTTTTAGTCCAAAAAAATAAAAAGTACACTTTTTTAGGACACCCCAAACCAGCCCTTAATTTAATAAATAAATTAATTTATATAATATATTAAAAATATATACCCTTTTAATTATATAATTTTTTTAATTTGTTTTTTTATTTGATGTTAATAATTTATTTGTTGTTAATGTAGAAAACTTAGTATCATCAGAAGTAATGGTTAATGGTAATTCTAACTCTTCAGAAGATGATAATGAAACTGAAACAGTTGAAGAAGTTTGAAATTTGAACCATGGATATTTTTTTGTTTTAGTTTGATATACTACTAGTAATAGTTTGGTCTTAAAAATTTTGAACTTATAAAATTATGGATGTGTTTGGTTTAAAAAACTTTATAATGTTCTAATTAATATGATATTTAATATTTAATTGTTATTTGATCGATAGGCCTTTGTTTATTTATGAAAAAATAATAGGTACTATAATTTCTAGTTTTTTTACTAGTTTGTGTATATGACTCGATGGACGGGTTTGAGAATTATAATTTATATTAGGATTGGGTTTGAGATGATTATGTAGGCTTGATGTTAGGGCCAGGTCGGGCTTGGATAGATACAAAGTCTTTTATTAGGTAGCGTTGGCCCGATGAATGACCACCCCTAACTAAGGGGTGTTAAAAAAAATAGGTAGAACCGGTAAATCTATCCATCTAGTTCAAACCGCGAGTTTGATATGATTTTTTTAGTTAAAGTTGTGATTTTGATTTTAAAAATGGTGGAACTGTTCAAATCAGTCCGATTCTCGGTTCTAAGGCTTTGGTTACGGTTCCAAACCGAACCGGACCGTGATATATTTGTTTATCATTTTTTATATCTTTATATAAAAAAATATAAAATGTTTCTTATAAGATTTGAATATTAGCCATCATTATGAAATGATTAAACTTTAACCAACTTAACCAAACTAATTATTATTCATTTATTTATTAACATAAAATATATATCATTTTTATTGTTGTATAAAATTTTTAAAATCGTAAACCAAACCGAACTCGGTTCTATTGTTCGATTTTGGTCTGGTTCCATAGGTCAATGATTCAGTTATGGTTCTAATTTTTTTGGAATCATAAAAAATGGTTTGGTTCTTGATTTATTCTAAAATCGGACCAATCCCATTTGTGTATATCCCTACAACTAACAACTAACTTTCGTTGATTAAAAAAAAAAAACATAAATATCAGACTATACCGTCTAGAAAATGTAATTCTGGCAGAATCGAACGACATGAAAGTAAAAGTGAATTTTTTATTTTTTATTTTTTTATATATATTATATGATATACATTGTTATTCTAAGAAAGCAAAACAATACAATTTTGGATGGTTAAATTATATGCCTAAATATATTAGGGGTACTTACGTGTAGGTCATAAATAAATGAATTTATTGTCTAATAGGTCCTATGGGAAAAATTTGTCACAAAAAAGTCACTAATTGTAAGTTTTAGTAACAATTTATAAAAATCATGACAAAAAAAAGTTACTAATTATCAATTTTTAACGACATATATAAAAAATTGTCACAAAAAAAATTATTTTTAGTTATAATTTTACCAAAACTTATTTTCAATAAGATTTGATAAGGATTAAATTCAGTTTTGATGTTTATTCTAATTTTTTTATATATAATTTTTCATAATTTTTTTTTTCAAATTTTACTAATTTCATAGGGGTAATTATGTAATAAAAAATGTACTAGCTGTTCTCAAACTAAATTCGCAAATCTAGGAAAGTTTTTAATTAGTCATCCTTATTTTTTGTGGAAATTCAACAAGAAAATCTTACCTGTAAATTTGAATATCAATTTAAAACTGAAATGAAGATTTTGAACATGAGAGAGTAAGGATTCATTACAATCTATCTAAATAATTTGAATTCAAAAAAATAATATTCAAAATAAATTTGAAATATATATAGTATTTTATTAATAAGTATTTTGAGAGAATTTATTAACAAATTTTAAAAATCATTATACATTAATGTGTGATATCATAAAGAAAAATAACAAATCAGTGATATTTTAACAAAATACTTATAAATTAATAAAAATAAATTTTTAATTTTAATTATTAAATTTGATAAAATTTGATGTTGATTCATTGAATTGTAATTTCTCCAATAATAAGTAGTCGTGTTATAAATAAAAACAGAAAAAATTTAATGTGTTAGACAAAAAAGATTCGTTGCATATGTGCCGATTACATAATTAAACACAACTTTGATATGTAATTTAAAAAATAGTCTTGCTAATAAATATTTTTATAATATAAGTAAAAGATAAAATATCTATAAAGCACAATACACTTTTCATTAATTTTAATATATTTTTATTAAAATTAATATATTTTTAAATATTTCAATACACATTTTATATATTTCTCAATATTAAACAATGTATAGGGACACTTATACACTTTTAAATTGAGTTTTTAATTTTACTCTTAATGAGGCAGATGAGAAAATAAAATTTAAAAAAGAGAGGAGTATATATATTTTTATATGAATTTTAATCACTTCATTGAGATGCAATTGAAGTTCTCTGGGATGCATTATTTTTCTTATTTCTGTGATTAATTTATTTACATATAAAGACATAATTATTTAATTTTTTTTAAACAAATAGGACACATAATAGTATTAAAATCTTTATAGTTAATGATTAATAAGAGTTTAACTGGAGAGCACTGTCATCTTTAAAGCATCATTTCTGTCATTTTGTTTTCTGAGATTAGGTGTCGTTTTTGCAGAGTGTTGAAGGCATGAGGGAAGAGAGAGAGTGAGAGTAGAAGAGAGAGCAAGAGACAGAAACAAACCTTTTATTGTGTTTGAGTGTTTTCTATGTTTCTTTTCCTCCTGATTATCTGTCTTCCTCTACCACAGACTCAAAGATTTTGTGGGTATGTATATGTTTAATCTCTTCTTTCTCTTTCTTACCTTCTTTTGTTTCAAATCATTTCTCACTCATGCACTTGAAATTTTGTGTTTTTGAAGAGTTTTTTTTTTTTTTTTTCTTTAGATTCACTTGTCAAAGATGTGATTTTGGATCTGAAATATACTACCCAAATGACTAAAAATGTTTTCTTTAATTTTTGTGGGTGGGTTAATCTTGATATTGTTAGAAGTGTTAGTTGTGTTCTTGTGTATTTTGTTTTGTGTTTGTGCATGTATAGAATGTTTTGTGGTTTTGAGCATGATTTTAGAAAACAAAATTGTATGTTTTTGTTTCTAACTTCTTTTAATTGCTTCTGTATTGAGGAATATTCAGTGTTTTCTGTTTCTATGTCTGGATAATCTGTTGTGGAAAAATTGTTTTCTGTAGGTGCTATTTTCTGTGTAGAATGTATATGTTCTAATTTTTTTTTTTCTTTCCATATTTAGAAAAAAAGGACTTGGGCACTTTTGTGTTAAATATTTCTTTTTAAATGCAAAGAAAGAAAAATATTGAGAAACTTGTGGGTATGCAGAGTTTTAATTTATTTAATTTCTATGTTATGTCAAATTTATAAAAAGAAATAAAAATAAATTATGCAGCTTTTTTCTGACAGAAACTAGAAACCCTAATCTCTCCTCTTGAATCTAGTAATGGGCTCATTGTGTTGCTCACTCTGTTTGGTTTTGTTTTCAGAATCGGTTTTCTGAAATTTTAAAAAAATATAAAAAATTAATTTGATGAAAGAAATTAAAAACACTATTCATTTTCATATGATTTTTCTCTTTTCCGGGCAAAAATATATTTATGTTCATTTTTTGTCAAACTAAATTATATTTTTCAAAATGTTTTTTATTTTTTGGTGAAAAATGAAACTAGTTTCTGTTTGATGATGATCCCTGTGTATAATTTTCTAATTCGAACTAGATTATCTCGATTTAAAGTTTTTTCCCCCCACGTGTAACGTTTATTTCTCTAATTATATTATTTTATATTTATGTAGGAGCGATTAGATTTGAAATGGATCCTTTTGAGGCTTTAAGTATTGTGTTTAGTCGAATTCGGAAGTTAGAACCAGAGAATGTTTCAAAGAAGATAATCGGCTATATTCTTGTACAAGATGGCAGTCATGAAATGATTCGGTTGGCTTTTGGGCCGGACAATTTAATCCAAAACTTGATACACATAATCAAAATTCAACTAGGATTAGTACCAAAACCAGTTGTTTCGCCTCCGATTTCACCTTCTATGAACCTGGACCCCTTTACTCCGTTCTCACCATTTTCATCCCGGGTGACGTTGAGGGTCCCAACTCCCTACTGGGACCCACAGGTCAATCCTGAGCACCAAACAATGCATGATCCCCATTTCATACCAGTTGGCTACTCCGATTCTGTCCCGGAAGATTTCAGGCTCCAAAATCGGGCCCAAATCATGGGCTTGGAGGATCGGTTAGAGCCGGTTAATTCAGGAATTCCTGCCTTTTCGAGTGATTATTATTACCCAGAAGTGAGAAGCCAACGGTCTCCGACCCTATCTGATTTCCCAATAAAAGCTTGTCACTATTTTAATAAGGGGTTTTGTAAGCATGGAAGTAACTGTAGGTACTTTCACGGACAACCTTTTCCTGAGAGCTTCTCTCCGATGTTTAGCCCGGGTTCGAATGAAATTGCTAATGATGATCATATGTTTTTGCCCGGTTCACTTGAAAAGTTGGAATTGGAAATTACTGAGCTCTTGAAATTAGGAAGAGGCAGTCCCATTTCAATTGCCTCACTGCCCATGTTGTACTTCGAGACATACGGGAGGACTCTTCAGGCCGAAGGGTACCTCACAGAAAGCCAGAGGCATGGTAAAGTGGGTTATAGTTTGACAAAGCTCATTGCCCGATTGAAGAGCAGTGTGCGGCTGATTGACAGGTGTAATTATGATTTTTCATGTATATTAATTATTATTATTATATCAAAAAATTAACAATTATTTTTTTAATGGTTCGGTTACAGACCTCACGGGCAGCATTCAGTTATACTGGCAGAAGATGCACCGAAGTATATGGAAAACCGGGGTGAAAGAAATGATCCGGGCCCAATTGTTAGTGGATCACGGCAAATATATTTAACTTTTCCGGCTGAGAGCACTTTTACTGAGGAAGATGTTGCCAACTACTTCGAGTAATTCAATGTCAAATTGTTAAATTTCCGGGACTTTTGTTATTTAGCATTATGAATTTATTTATCTATGTATTTATTTCACTTCATTTGTTTTCTTTGGTTTGTAGTACCTTTGGGCCGGTTCAAGATGTAAGAATTCCTTGCCAACAGAAAAGGATGTTTGGGTTTGTTACTTTTGCTAATGCAGATACTGTGAAGATGATTTTGTTGAAGGGAAATCCACATTATGTTTGTGGTGCTCGTGTTCTTGTGAAACCGTATAGAGAAAAATCAAAGCTTTTTGACAGGTATAATTCTCTCTTTTCTTTCTCATTTTGACTAAACAAACAACTTCCGTGTTGATTCTGCAATTATTGGTCCTTCCTAATCTTAAATGTTAATTCTTAATGTGTGACATTGGTCAAATCTTCACCCCCCAAATCCCGTGACCTGAGACCATGAATGGGTTAGAAGGATAACGATTGGTTAAAAAGCTTATGGGTAAATTCTCAATCATTTTTTTTTTTGGGTAATGAGGGTATCCAAAGCTTTGCCCTTCAGGTACATCATGTCTCCTCGTCCCACACATAGCAGGCTATGAAGTACGGGTACTCCAAAAATGGTGCCGTACGAGTACCAGGTATTTACCGGGTGCGGGTACGTGTACCGGTATGGCAGTACGCGTACCGGGTACGCCGAATACATGCCAAGTACGGTAAATACATTTGGGTATGTCGTGGGTATGACACCGGTACGGCATGGGTACGACACTGGTACAGTGAGTTGAATTTATTTATTTATTTTTTTTCAGCTGCTAGAATTTGTTGCAGCCTTTATTGTTTTTCTTTCAATTTTGAAAATATCAAGTAATTTATTTCCAACACCCTTTATCCATGAGTCATGATTTTACTCTCTTTTGCATCATGTTTTAGACAATAAAAAAAGAAAAATAAATAATTATATAATTTTTTAGACAAACTATTCTCTTTTTAGTTTTGATATTGAAACTTTAATTTGTATGTTGGATTTTTAGCTATACATTTAAAAAAAAAATTGATGTACCCCAGTTGTACCCGTACCCTACTTTTTAAAAATTTTTCCATATTGACATACTCGTATTGTACCCGCACCCGCACCCGCACCCGCACCCGCACCCGCACCCGTGCTTCATAGATAGCAGGTAATTACTGGGCACAAGCCTTGGGGTTGGTTCTAAGGGGCTCAAGAACATCACGGATTTGAACTCATGACCTACGCTTCCTGAGGCACTTATCATGGCTCAACTTGGTGCTAGGCTAAACCATTGGGGTTATCATTGGTTACATTTTGCTTTTGTAATCATTAATAACTTTGTGGCTGCTAAAATATATCAGCTAGTCTGTTGTTCTCATTGCTAGATGGGACTTGAGAAAGCTATTTCATCTAAACTTTAACAATACAACTTTCTCTGTCCCTCTCTACCTCCCTCATATGGTGTTTTATTTAAATGCAGGAAGTACCTAGAGAAAATGGAGCCTCTGATGCATTACGGTTCACACTTTACAGACATGGATTCTGACCTTCACTCAAGTGTGTAATACCTTTCAGTAATTCTAGTGAAGCTCGAAGAATTAATGTCCAACTGTGATAAGTTCTCATAGACTGTTTCTTATCGCCATTAAGTTTCATATATTGGTACTCAAAGGCCATGTTTGTTCATTGGACTCGATTGCATGGAAGACGCATTAGGAGGGGGATTAGAAGAATGTACAGTCAGTCCCCCATGTGGGGATATACAGTCTGAGGGGACTGTCAATCCTGAGGTCTACTTTTGTATCCAAACATGGGGTTCGGAATTGAACAAGATACATAGTCCAATCCGATGCCTTAATCCCCCTAACAAACACAACTTATATGTTTATGCTCTTGAGGTCATATCATGCAAGCATTTCTAACATGTGAGGTGCCTTCTATTTAATCCTAGTATCATTACCATATAACCTGATACATTTCTTACCGTGCCAACAGGATGGGAGTCCTCCCGGATGCTCAGGAAGCAGTTTATGGAAGAGCCGGAAAACGCTCTGGAAATCCAGACATGGCGTCTCTCAGAGATGCATTTTGCACAAAAAACTCCCACCAATAACTCCTATTTTGGCTACTCCATGGATGAGGTCAAAGCTTCCGAAGGTTTAGTATCGTCTCTTTCATTTACTATATAATTATTATTACATATTTGGTTTTCCATCTTCATTTGCTTTTTCTTCATTGCACTCTTAGTTTGTCTGTGATTCTTGTCAAAATCATTGCTTGTGCAGATCATTCCAAGTTCCCATCAGCAGAAAGTTTTACCTATCTGCCGGATGTTCTGAATAGCAGGCCTACAAGTGATGATAATCCCAAGCATGCAGGGATCAATCACGGTGATCAGGAGAGGTATGACCAGATGTCTACTAGGGGCCTCATAGCAATTGTGCTTTGGGAAAGTACAAGTTGTCCTGTCATTCTAACCCGTTGAAATCATGATCATGATTAATCTATTTTTCTTCTGGTGGATAACGTGTTTCTTTTTTCTTCAATCCCCCCCTTCCCCGTCCATCTCTCATTGCAAGTTGTCGTTACTTCATTGTTGATAGGTTAATTTCACTTTTATCCCCAAAACGATTGTCTCTAAACTATCAAATTAGTCTATTTATTCATATTAATAATGGTGGAAACCCAACCTAATGGGCAAAAAGCTAATTTTACAGTTTAGATAACCTAAATTATACAACCAAACCCCCATCTTCTTCTCCACCCCTCATTTCAAAAATAGTAAGAAAAATGAGTGTTTTATTGTATAATTTAAGTTTGTTTAAATTTTGAAATGACTTTTTTCCCCTTCAAATTTGATTTGAACAGTTAGTGATTTAGGCAACCATCTCTAATTAGACTACTTCAGCTGAAATTAGAAACTCTAGTGAGTAAATAGATGGAAAAAAAATGGTGATAGTTTAGGGGATAACAGTGGACACCTTTCACGATATTGCTTTCAACAACATATTTTCTGATCAATCTTGCTTCACACTCTTCAGTTATCCTTCATCCATCCCTGCATTTTCATAGCTTACTGCTTTCTTACTTCGGCTTTTTTTATGTTCATTTGTTCAGTGGTCAAGGTCTCAATCTCCCGGAGAGCCCATTTGCATCTCCGATAGCAAGCAACATTTCTACAGTCATAGATTAAAGCAACAATCAGAAGAAATATAGGGTTCACAGAGTACTGGCTTTGAAACTCAACACCTTTACTGCCAAAGAATACAGCTCTTTTTTTTTCCCTTTTCCGTTTTCTCGACTAGTTCGTCAGGCGGTCAGTCAGTCAAAACTTCCTGCAAGTACAAACTAGCGAAAGTGAGAAATATCAGACGCGTAGAAGAACATGATAACAGGAAAGAAAGTACATGTAAGAAGGTTCTACAGTTTTTGTTTTTTTAAATGTTTCCACAGAAGGCAAGAGGTCCGAATAGAATGTCGTGTAGTCTTTTATTAGCTGAAAACTAGCACACATGTAGGGTTTCAGAGATGTGAAAATATGTTTAATCTCTGTAAAAACCGTGCAATGGACAGAAAATACCTTTTTGTGTGATGTTGAAATCAATATCTTGCATTTCTGATCACAAAGGCAGAGAAAAATGACTCTTCGGCTAGAATTTTTATCGAATTTACAGGTTTCTTTGTTGGCAGGTAGAGGATTGGGTCAGGTGTTTTCATAGTTGGTCATTATTGTGTTTTTCAATTGTGTTGTAAATATTTTACTGTGTTGTAAAAGTTGTTGTATTGGGAAGCTCATAAGGTCTTGCCTATCTACGAACAACTTTGGGGTTGGAGATTGCAGTATTGTCTTCTTGTGTTTTCAAAACTCCGGGGGGGGGATATTTCTAACTTCCTGAGCTGTGCTTTTTGTCTTTATTTCTAACTTCCTGAGCTGTGCTTTTTGTTTTGGATTTTTCTTAAGTTTGTCTTGCATATGGTATGCAAGGCATTTACGACCTTGCATTTACACCTTCTATGGTGTAAACAATAATGCTCAACCTTACATTTACACCTTTCATATGGTGTGCAACCTTAAGGGGGTTGCACACTTAAACATTACCCGTTTATTTTGTTTTTGGTAAAAAAAAATGAAGCATTTATAAAGAAAAGCAAACTGTACATGAAAGATACTGAAGTCATCCATTCTCGACAGAAGGCACATGTATCCAAAGTATTATGTGGATTTTCGTCTAGAAATTAGTACTCCCTCCGTCTCAAAATATTGGTCCTTTTTGAGGAATTTAATTTTTTTTGGTAGTACACTTATTGGATTTGAAAAAAGTTAATTTTTCAAAATTACCCTTTTGATAGTACATTTTTTGGGAATATTAATATCATAATTGTACTTTTTAAATTGTTTATTAATTTAAAAGAAGGGCAAAATAAGAAATTTACATTATTTTGTACTACTTGATTTATAAAGAGGGACTAATATTTTGGGACAATGAAAAATAGAATAAGGGACTAATATTTTGAAACGAAGGGAGTATGGTGAAAGGAGATGTGAATTAGACAAGACCCTTTTGATAGTAGGCTCTATTTCTAACTTCCTGACCTGTGCTTTTTGTTTTGGACTTTTCTTAAGTGTGTCTTGCATATGGTATGCAAGGCATTTACAACCTTGCATTTACACCTTCTATGGTGTAAACAATAATGCTCAACCTTACATTTACACCTTTCATATGATGTGCAACCTTAAGGGGGTTGCACACTTAAACATTACACGTTTATTTTGTTTTTGGTAAAAAAAAATGAAGCATTTATAAAGAAAAGCAAACTGTACATGAAAGATACTGAAGTCATCCATTCTCGACAGAAGGCACATGTATCCAAAGTATTATGTGGATTTTCGTCTAGAAATTAGTACTCCCTCCGTCTCAAAATATTGGTCCTTTTTGAGGAATTTAATTTTTTTTGGTAGTACACTTTGGCCATGTTTGTTTGGGTGGACATGAGCTTGGGATTGAACTAATAGTCCAATAAAATTATTAATCCGATGTTTGGTTAAACAATTGAAGTACGAACTAATTATTTTAAACTTGACTATTAGTTAAGATAGGATACATAATCCAACAGATTGGTAGTCATAGGACTATTAGTCATGGGAATGCTAATTCAGTCCGTCCAAACAAACATGGCCTTATTGGATTTGAAAAAAGTTAATTTTTCAAAATTACCCTTTTGATAGTACATTTTTTGGGAATATCAATATCATAATTGTACTTTTTAAATTGTTTATTAATTTAAAAGAAGGGCAAAATAAGAAATTTACATTATTTTGTACTTGATTTATAAAGAGGGACTAATATTTTGGGACAATGAAAAATAGAATAAGGGACTAATATTTTGAAACGAAGGGAGTATAGTGAAAGGAGATGTGAATTAGACAAGACCTTCTACAGATACCTATACCTCGACAAAGGCAATGGCGCTAAACTCATGAAAAGAAGTAAATAAAATTTGAACTATTAAAAGGAATATATTGAAAGATAAATGATTTCCTTGGCGAAAACCACTTATTAGGATTAAAGAATAGCAAAAGAAATTGGGGATATACATCATAAAATCGGGGTAACTCATACTAAGGTATCACAAGATTGTTTTTAGTTTAAAAATTAAAAAGTCATTAAAAAAATTAAAAAATTAATAATCAATATCAAAAAATTAAAAATTTTATTTTCTCTTTTTTATACATTTTTTCGTACAAAATTAAAAATTCATTCTAAATATATTAATTTTTTACATCATATTTAATCAAAAAAATAAAAAGAATTATTAAAAAATTCTATTTTCAAACGGCTATGGTTATCAAAACCCTTATAAAGAAAACCCAATTAACTTGGTCATAAATCTTGTTTAAGCTAATATTAAAAAGGAAAAATTCCGACCATTAATAAATTAATTTTTTTTGTAATGACCTTTTTGTAATAATCTAACGGTCCATATTTAAATTTGAAGGAAATAATTACGTCATTTTAATATCAAAGTATATTAAGATTATTAGAAAGAAAATCATAACAAATGATCATTAATCCAGGCCATTTTCGATATGCAAAAAAAATAAAAATAAAAATAAAACTTGGGTATGGGCCGGGTTAGATATCGGGTCGAGGCCTGTGATTGGGACCATAAACACAAACCCCACCTGATAGATTCATGATTTCCCAACCCAAACGACACTCGATCAGTTAGAGAGAGAGAGAGAGTTTTGAAGAAGAAAAAGATGAACACAGACATCACAGCATCGGCAAAGCCGGAGTACCCAGTGATCGATCGAAACCCTCCCTTCACGAAGACTGTCGCCAACTTCAACACCCTCGATTACCTCCGCCTCTCCACCATCACCGGCATTTCCGTCACCGTCGGCTACCTCTCCGGTACCCCCCTCCTCTCTCTCTCTCTCTATATATATGTGTGTGTGTGTGTTTAGAGCATCTCCGATCCTTGTTCTCTCCCTCTCTCTCACACTCTCATGAAATTTGGTTAAAAGCTTGATCTGATATAGAAAACTTATCTTCAGCCCTAAACCCTTCTTAAAATTTTATCAAATTTGAGTAAAAATATGATTGTTGAGAATTTGGTGAGGGGTTTTGTTCATCCTTGATTTGGTGGGAAAAAAAAAATGGCCTCTTTCTTTGATTTGATTAAAAATTGATGAAATGATCCTTTTTAAAATGTTATCAAATTAGTTGGGAATTTGGTGAAAGGGTTTGGTTCATCGTTGATTTGGTGGAAAAAAATGGTCTCTTCCTTTGAATTGATAAAAATGGCCCTTTTAAAAAATTTATCAAATTTGAGTAAAAATATGATTGTTGGGGATTTGGTGAAAGGGTTTGGTTTATCCTTGATTTGGTGGGGGAAAAAAAAAATTGCCTATTCCTTTGATTTGAATTTTTTTTGATGAAATGGCCCTTTTTAAAATTGTATCAAATTTTAGTAAAAATATGATTCTTGGGGATTTGGTGGAAAGGTTTGGTTCATCCTTGATTTGATGGAAAAAAATGGCATCTTCCTTTGATTTGATAATTTTTTTGATGAAATGGTCCTTTTTAAAATTTTATCAAATCTGAGGCCTCATTTGGCAAGTACCTGTTTTAGCTTAAAAGTCAAAACGTTATTAAAAAGATCAAAAAGTCAACAACTTATATAAAAAAGTGAAAGATTCTTTTTTTCTTTCTACTTTTTACACATCTTTTCGTAAAAAGTCAAAAAGTCATCCCAAGCATACTATTTTTTTTACCTCATATTTTAGCTAAAAAAGTTAAAAAGTTACTAAAATAGTCTGTTTCCAAACGAGACTGACTAAAAATATGATTGTTGGGAATTTGGTGAAGGGTTTGGTTCATCCTTGATTTGGTGGAAAAAATTGCCTCTTCCTTTGATTTGATCAAAATTTGATGAAACGGTTGGAACACAATTTTAATTTTTAATCATTTTTTCATCAAATTTGAATTTGATATTGAAGATGCTCTTAGAAATTGTCAATTAATCTAATCATTGGTGTGATTGATCGGTAGGAATTAAGCCCAACATTAGGGGTCCTTCGATGGTGACTGGAGGTTTGATCGGTCTCATGGGAGGGTTCATGTACGCTTACCAGAACTCTGCTGGGAGGCTCATGGGTTTCTTCCCCAACGAGGGTGAGGTTGCTCGGTACAAGAAATTGGAACCTTCTAGGGTTTAATTTGGTGTTTACATTCGAAGTAGAGAAAATCGAAAAGGCAACAATTTGGGTATGTTTGGTTTCTGTACGAGGCATTTGATCTTGCTATGAATAATCAGATTGTTGTTTCTGTTTCCAATTGTGCACTCTCTTTGTTGACTTATTGTGGCATTTTTCTTAACCTTCTATTGTTTTCTATTGATTACTCAAGTGATTTTTTGTTCTTATAGAGTCTTGCTTCCATTCTGAAATTGTAGTTTTTCACTTTATCTCCACTTTCCTAAAGATAGATTGCGTCAAGAAAATGAGTAAAAGGTGAGCATCCCCAATGGTGTCCCAAATTCTTAAGCCAAAGCCATTTTTGGCTATACCTTCACAAAAATACCTCCTCCAATGGTATGCCAAACCTTGAGCCAAAATTTGGCACAAGATTTGGCTTTATGATCACTAGATGCTTTTTGAAAAATATATCCAATGGTCACAAATTGATATGGGAGATGGTTGTGCCAAAATAGCATGTGAACTATTGTAGTGGTATAGCTAAAAAATGACTTTTTTGCGCTGTTGCGAGCTAAAAAATGACTCTAGCAAGGGTATTTTGGCTTTCACCATTGGAGCTGGGCTTCTTTTTTCCCCTTGAAAGGCCTTTTTATGCAAGGATTTTTTTTGATAGGTAATTACAACTTAGAAGGTGGACTTTAAATTCTTCTTGGTTGATGGTTGTTAAGTTTGTTTGTAACTTTGGAGGACTCTGGATTTAGCAATCTTCATTCACATATTCTTGGTTATAGATTGCCTGCCTAGACAAGGCATATGTCATAAACATTTTGCTCACTTTATCTCATGACAAGTTATTGGGTTTATAGTGCACTTTAGGAACTAGGCATTTTGTGTTTTGATTGAGGCTTCTCATGCTTGGGTGTTATATTGTCTTCTCGTAGTTTTTTTTAGATGGGATAGTAAGTCCTCATTTGGAGATTCATTAGTGGTATCATGCTTTATTAGTTAGACCATCTCAAGGAAGAAATCAATAAGAATGAAAAGCCCCCTTTAATTATGGACTTTATCCCTGAAAGATTACCAAACAAAATCTAGGTAACATGAAAGGATCAATGAAATGGCAATCCTATTGAATTAGCTCATAGTGAACAATATTTTGGAATCAATATTAAACTACAAAGCCTTTTTTGGAAAATTGTAATCTGCAAATATAGTGTGAACTGTCAATGTTCTGGTGGTGGTTAAGAAAAGAAGTCAAATAAATTGTGATGTTAATAGATGGAGAAGCCCCACCGAAAATAGTGATGACATGTAGTATTCGGACATAGAAGAGGAAAAATTAGCTTAGAGTTAGAAGACAACTCCATTTGGAAAGTATAGATATTTGTGGAGATACAAGGTCTCCAACGTAATTAAGTAACCTTTATTTGTAGGCTAGTAAAGAGGTCTTTTGAATATGAAGCATTCTTTAGAAAGAAGAGGGGCAACACAAAATTGGACATGAAAGTTAAAATGATAGCATTTCTTGGAATTTGGAATATGGTTTTATTCTTGTAGTGTGTATGTGGAATTTGATTTTTTTTTTTTTTTTTTATCGATGACAATGATGAGGTAGATTCATTTCAAATACTGCATGAGAAAGTTGTGTGAGCTGTTGTGACTCAAAACTTTGATAGATCCACAGAAAACTCCTCTTTGGTAATAGGTTATCGTAAAACATATATAAAATCTCACATTTAGGTGACCTCTGTTTACTCATGTTACTTGTTCCTAAATTTATGTGGAACAATTTTGAGAAGATAATATGATGCAAGGAAATGGATATGATTGTTTGAATAACGTTAGGTCTACCAGTTTCTTTGTGGTCACTTTTCAAGCAAAAACAATGTCTTCTTGTGCTTCTTCACCTGAATGGTTATTTGGACTTGCCGCTGCGTTTTGCTATGTAGACCTAAGCTTGGTTTGCTATTTGGATTGGTGGATTATGAATACAGGTTTTACATATTATTTTCCTGACAAAGAAGAGGAGGAGAGAGATGTTATATATCAGCTTTATATGATATACATAAATATTCCAGTTTTGTTTTGCAATTGCAAAGGGCTGGTCCTTCACAGGAAATGGATTACTTGCAGTGACTGGCAATTTGAAAAAACTTATCTATCTCTTGCTTGCTTGATTGATTGAAATTGCAGCAAGATGGTGGGGGAGAATACCATTGTAATGACAGAGTACTTTCAACCAAAAGGAGGCACATTTTAAGCTTTTCTTGTATGAAATGATTATATATTAATATCTAGGGCTGTTATCACTTTGATCTTCTCAACTAAAAATTGCTTTACTTTACCCTTTGATCGTTTGATTCGTTTCAATACTTTATATTTACATTTTGTTATGAAAGTGGACGGAAAAAAGTGTGAACTATCCATACCAATATTATTATAATCAAAATGTTTATTCAAGAGCTAATTTATTTACATATAATGAGAGATTTGTGTTTATCTTCTCCTCTCCTATTCTATTGGGACATGTGAGAAAAGATACCTGCACATGTCAATTTTATAACTTGATAAAAATATATATGTATATACATATTTTATTTCATGAGTATATACATTACTTCGTGTTATAAAATTGGCATGAACAACTTGTGTCATTTTTTCATTTTCTTTACGAAATATTAAGAGGAGTTTAAACAAATTAACTGATTATGAAGGCAAAATATAACACTTTTCGGTTGAAGGGAGGGGGTAGAGTTATAATAGCCTATAATTGAAGGGAATAAAGTGTAATTTGTCTTAATATTTATTTTTCTTTTGAAAGTTGAAAAAAAATTCATTACTAGTCTAGGCCGAGTTTGTTGAGTTTGTTTAAGATAAAAATGATAAAAGAAACTTTAGAAAGTGAGGAAAACAAAAAAAGAAAACATATCTTTCTGTCAGTTTGTTTAAAAGTGGTGAAAAGTTAAAAAGAAATTAATTTTTTTGTACAATTTATACTAGCATTGTAAATAACTTTTTAATTCCTTGTAAAAAAATACAAGAAAATTTAAATGTGTTTATATAAGGAGTTATTTATAAATAAAACTTCAATTTGTTCCATCTTTTTATTGTAAAATTTGTCTTAATCAAATGTTTACAATTTTTCTTTTCTATTTTTTCCATTTTCTTTTACTTTTACTATTCAACAGTTTTTCTTATCAGGGAAAATTATGTAGTATTCTTAGAGAAAGATGATGTGGGCCTTTGTTTGACTCTCATTGAGGGTTAATTACACCACCAAACCCTTCTTTACCCCTCATTTATTAACCCGTCAATTATAAAAATTATACAAATATATCACTTTTGAAGGTAGTTTGAAAAGAGCACAAGTGATATATGTAGTATGTAGTTGAGGGAATCAAAATACGAAAGTTCATAGCGGAAGCAGCCAAAATAATATTTGCTAATAGTTAAAAGAGTATGGTGTAATTAACCCTTTTCCTGATGGGAATAGACAATTAATGCAAATTATCAGGACGTGAGCTTATCTGAAATACAAGTGTAGAAGCAGTTTGTAAAACCAAACCAAAACAAAACAAATTACGAAGTCTTTTGGGAGGGGATTCAGTATAACCAATATGAAGTCCAGTGAATTTTCCACCCATTTCACAAACAAATGTAAGGGCATGACAGAAACTTCAACAGCAAAAAATTATTCAATATTTCACAGAATTCGTTATAAAATGTCAACCAAAGTAACAGTTGCATGCTTATCCATCTCATAATACAATAGCTTTGCAATGGTTTGGCCATGGCAGACACCATTTTCACAGCCTAATTAATTTCATGAGGTTGATCTTCTGCTGTGGCATACAACAGATTTGCAGAAGCAAACACAACAACTTGATAACTCCATTTTAGGGTTGGCTGCTAGAGTTGAGAAGCTTAGGTAACCCCGGTCAACAATTCAAGATAGAAGCATCAACGCAACATCATATAGACTTTTTTTTGGGATCGAAGGTTTGAATACTAGGAAAAATTTATCAAGACCACAACCGAATGGAAATTCATTTTAGTTTTTCCTAATATGATAAGAGTTTGGGATCAGACTGACGTGCAAATAAAAGTTCAGCATAGCGCAGACCACCGAGCTTATGTAAGCTGTTTTATCATCATTTCCCAAACCCTAAAAACCTTGACACACAATTTCATATTCAGTTTATACATATATAAACAACTATAGACAATGTAGTTTAACTGCTCTATATAAATACCAATGCTAAATAATCAAAGTTATTCTAAGAAAATTCAATGAATTAACATTTTCTTTATACTTTCCTGGAAAATTTTATCAAGATCATAACCAAGTGGAAAATTTATTCAAAGTTTGGGATCAGACTGACGTGCAAAAACATGTTCAGCAGAGCACAGATCACTGAGCTTATGTAACCGGTTTAGATCTTATTAGCATCATTTCCCAAACACTAATATAAATTTTTTCAATTTTTATGCGTATACAACTATAGATAATGTAGTATCTGCGACCAATTTGTATATTCATATGTATGATCATACTTCATACGATTTGAAAACAATAATCAAGTTCATCAAAAAATAAAATTTAGATCGTGTACGGTGAGAAAATAGAGTTGATTAACAAAATCAGAGGGAGAGAAGGCTGAAACCTAGAACTGTTGGTGTTGTGGCTCCTCCAAGAAACTACAGATGATGAAGATGAAGGAAAAGAGAGTGAGTCAGAGACTAGGGTTTAACACTTTGAGGAGGTTCCTCTATTATTAAATAGTATTACTGAGTGTGTGTGTGTGAGAGAGAGAGAGAGAGAAGATTGACATTTTCGGAAGAGAAAGCAGCTAGGGTTTACGACGCGGAAACCCTGCGAACACCAATTGGGCCAAAGATGGGTCGCCATTGGCCCAGTTGTTTGCCCAATCTGTTCAATCTAACTCATGGTTTGAGATAAATATTTCAGCCCATAAAATCAGGCTGTTAAAATTGTGAGCCCATATAAAATAATATTGGGCTAAATTATAGGCAAGTCTTATGTGATGGACTTTAAATACCTGAAAGTTTGATATACTTTTTTTGATGTATTAACCATTTTCAATTTTGTATCAAATCTTTTATCAATTTTAAATTTGACGAAAAATATCTTAAATGTTAATTCCAACCATTTCATCAAACTGATATTAAATAGAAGGAGAACCAAATATTTCATCAAATAAAAGGAGTTTTTATCCTTTCATCAAATTTTGTAAGTAGTCGTTGGTGGACGACCGACCGGACAACTAAATTTTGAAATGAATTAAGAATTTTGTAAAAAGATTTAATGAAAATTAACTCTTCACTGGACGACTGACCAAATTGATGAGAACTTATTGAGTTCATCATATTAGATCAAATTTTCATCAAATTCAAATTTGATGAAAATTTTGAAGAAGCGTTAGAAATGCTCTAATAAGTCCTAAAATGGTTATTTTGCCACAATATTTTTTTGACATATTAAAAGGTGAAAAAAAAAAAGACCTATAAGTCCCCTTTATATTGTGAGGTGGGTTTTGGTATGAAAAATAATATATGTTTTTATATTTCATATTATTTAATTACATAACCAATTACTTTTGATAAGAGTGGAATTAAAAAAAATGAAAAAAAATCATCTAGTCAATCTCACTTATAGTTGTGATTAGCAATGGCAATGGAAACGTAGATGAAAAGGCAAGGACCGAGTTTGCAATGTCCCATCTCAACCCCGTTGTTCCTTTAATAAATAAATAAATAAAAGAAAAGAGCAGAAAAACAAAACTAATAAGAGAACAAAAATAATAACCAGTGTGCTTAGTTTCAATTTTCTGAATTTTATTTTTTAAAGATTAAGTCTATTGTATTTCGTATTTTTTTTTGTTTTTAATAAATATTTTTAAAATTTTAAATAATTTTTTACTTCTTAAATACATCTTACTTAGATGTATCTCTAAATAGTAAAATATTTGTGAAAAAATATTTTAAAAAAATTAATAAATACACAAAAATATGAAAAATGTACTAAATTTTTATTTTTTTTTGTTATTTAGTGTATTTTAAATTTTTTTTTCCACAAATACTTATTAAGTGTATTTATGTCTGGTGTGTCTAAAAATTTTAAAAAATTGCTTAAATTACTAAAAAAAATTCATTGAAAACATTAAAATATGAAAAATAAAAAAGTAAAATTTTCTAAAAACTGTTTTCTAAAAATCAGAACTAAACAAAGTAAATAATTTGATTTTAACCCAACCTTTTATATATATAAAGAAAAATTCAAAATACAGTTATTAGGGATGATAATTTCACCCCACCAACCCCTAATTTTCATCGCCCCAATATGATATGGTGAGAGGAAGGAAAAATACAAATAGAAGTCAGTGGAAGAGTTAAACTCTTCCACCCTACCTTGTTCGAACCCCTAACCTCTCATGCGTGAGAATTAACCACGTGCCACTAGGCTAGAAGCCAATTTGACACCCGACCCAACCATTAAACTGTGCTAGGTTTACTCTGTTTTTGTCTCCATCTCGTGAATAAGTTTCTTCATTCACAACAATCTTTCCACATTTTTCAATCAAATAACTATCAATCTTCTGATCAAAAAGTTCAAATGGAGCGTGTATACTATCTAGATAGAGGCCATAATAGCCAATGTCAAGAGCACAGGACAACACCAAAACAACAAAAGCATGTATCTTGGTCTCATCATCACAAATCTACAAAAACATAAATGGATTCTTGGCCGCCATCATTTTTCGTATATTTTTACCTCTCATAACTCCTTTTTTTGTTCTTTCGTTCCCACAACTTTTCCTCTTGTTGTTTGGTCACTAGCACATCCCTCTCTTGAATTTTTTTTTGCTTAAATTACATTGACCACCGCTGAGAGTAAGAAAAAATAAAATAAGATACACAAGTTTATTATAATTACACCGACTTCCCTTTTAATAAAACTAAAGCTATTACAACTAATATAGATGTATTAGTTGTATAAAACCCTTAGAAAAGCCTCATATAAATCTCCTATTCACACCAAAACTAAAAACTGACAAAACCAAACTGTATCATGCAGTCGGTTTTGATTCTTTTGACGCTAAATTTTTCTTGAATCTCAACCGAACCAACTGCTTACACCCTAATGGTGTCAAATCTTGTTATGGCATTATAGCCCCGAGATCTCTACAGGGATCACCTATGTCAATTCTTACAACACATGGCCTGGCATCTTCCATAAAAAAAACTCGCAACAATCCATAGGCTATGCAGCCACTCCTGGAAATGGCCATTTAAAACTTCACACTACACAAGCATCCAACAACAAAATCAAGCATATATAGGCATCCACTATCTCCAGTCACTTTCCCTCCATGCCATTACCATCCAGCAACTCCAAGACACCACAGAAACTGCCCAGGAGAGAGAGACAGAGACAGACAGAGAACGGTAAGCTGTTGCCAGCTTCAATACAGACATGGAGAGGAGGACAGAGATTGATCCTTTTCTCTCTTTCCTCTCCATACGAGGGGGCTCAATCAAAAGTACACAAAAAAATTCAACCTAAAAAATTATTCCCTCTTCCAACCCTCGTCTTGTCTTGGAAAAATTATTCGGTGAATGAGGCACCTCGTGGTCATTTTACAAACCAATCACCAAATGTCATGACACCCCTAAGTGTCTCCCCAATCTCCAATATACCGTGGGCCACCCAATTTCCAACAATTACAATCTATATGGGGCACCACTTGACAATGCCCTATAGGCATGAGAAATTACTTTATGTAATGGGTATGCCACGTGCCGAGCTGGTGTACCCTTCTACTCATTGATTGATGCATCCTAAAGAGTGAGGTCGAAATTTGATGTGGCCAAACACTCAGCATCTCGAGTTGAACATTGACTAACTTCTCATATCCTACTGTGATCAAAAAGTACAGGTGACGTCGTTACATAAAATATTTACTACATGGGAATGGAATAAATTTCCCTCGTCTTGCACATCCCCACCTCTCCTTGCACCCTGCCCTCCACAAAATAGGAGAGGGCGTTTAAAAAAGGAGAAAAAAACAAAGAAAAAAAAAAATAACATACCTCCAAAAGCCAACCAAAAAAGGCACCATCTTCACCAAAGCCCAACCGGACAAGCCGACAGAGTTACCACCCTTCCATTTATTCCACAAAAGAAGCCCTTCCAAAAGCTACACTCCACCTCCTCTTGACTTTCTTGCTCACCCTTTTCTCCCTTAGAAGTCCTTTGCCTCTTTTCACATCCAACCCAACAATCCTAAGATTGGCTATGTAACTTTTCGTCCTTGGATGCTGCACAACAGTTGCTGATTCTCCAAATAATATTAAAAATATATCACAAGGCTCCAAATGCATGCATGAACAGCTTCAAATCATTGACAATCTTCCTATATATAGGCCTGTAGAGCCATTTCAGAAACCACCCTAAAGGAATCTGCACCGAAACTCAACAACCTTTTTCGGTTCTTACCTATAAAATGAGTAGGCAGAGCAGTGACTCCCTTGTCAATCATTCCTCCATTGCTCTTCTGCAAGAGAGGTTCAAACGATTGCAGAGGGCAAAGGAGATGAGAGAGGAGAGAGAGCTCTCGAGACAGGTCCCTGAATCCCAACGCGTCAATTCAACCACATATGACCCAACTAGATTATTTTTCCACTCTGAAATAATCCTTGCACCGAGGCAGCCCCATCAAGGTCTGCCCTCCCTCCAACATAACTTGCAGAGCAAAAATGATAACCTCCGGGCCACTGAGACTCCAACTTTGGCAAACTTACAGTATTCAGAGACAGTCATGTACAGATCAAGTAATTGTGAGGACTCGGATATTGATACTTCTCTTCATCTGTGAAAAAAACTCCTGTTTTTATGATGTTTTCATTCCTATAGCTCCTTTTTGGTGTTGTAAGAGTGAGAAAAATGTGAATAATGTTAACTACTGTTTACAGGGATGCTCATCATGATCATTTTCATGTTCATTAATTATATAGTCAGCAGAAAGATCATCATCATCTGCTCTCTTTTCGTGTGGAACCTCCTCATAGTCATCAGTCTTGTCTGCGTCTTCATTGCTGCTCCATTTCCTTTTCATGATTTTAGGAAACAAGCGTGTTACTTCTTTCACCTCCAGTGTCGCATCATCATAGTTTACCTGTTCAAACCGAACTGCACTCACCTTTCTGCAATTTCCTGCTAATATCTGCACCACAGACAATACAACTACATGTCAGTTAGGTGACTGCTAAAACTGCCAATTAAAATCGTGTATTTGCTGTCTTTTTGATCTGCCATATTGCTGAGAAAATAAATTAAAAGAACTGAATTTTGGATTCTTTTCACAGCTTGAGGTTTGAAGGGGCTGTTGGAAACTTCTTAGTGTTCTTCTGTCTCAAGAATCAAATGCGGCAACCAGACAAATTCTAGGCTAAGCGCTTGATGCATGATAATAGATCCATTCAAAATCCAGGTGGGAAAACATAAACAAAAGATGTTCTCTTATTATAGGAAATAAGAAAGCAAAAGAGATGTGGAATTGCATTTTTTACTCACTTTTGTGAGTGGTATGATATGGTCGGAATGTAACGCTAGAATTTTCGTGGAGAAGCTTTAAGACAATAGTCATTATGGGATAGAGTTTGCCATTTGGCATCTTTTCGGGTTTCCATTTCTTCTCCTTTTAACATTGTATTTGGTTCATGGATTTAGAGAGAGATTTGGAAAGGGAAAGGGAAAGGGAAAAGGTGTGTGTAATGGAGGTGAAATGTAGTTATATTTCATTCATATTTCACCTACTTTTTCCCTTTCCCCTTCCAAATCTATCCCCAAATTCATGAACCAAACACAGCCTAAAGGAATTTCATTCTTTTTGATTTCTTCAGATTGCAGAGCAGTGTGTGAGGTGTAGGTTGAAATGTTGATTTCGTTTGTTCTTTTGCTTTTTTCTTGGAGGACTCCTTGTCCTCTTGTTGTACATTTTCTTTCTTTTATTGAAATTCCATTTTGTTGCTGATAAAAATAAAAAATAAATGAAGAAAAGATAAGAAAAGAAAGTCCATGGTTAATGACCATTTTGGGGTGGCCTGGTAAAGTCGTCATCATGTTGTCAACCACTTGTGAAGTTTGGACAAGTAAATATGTTCTCTTATTATGAACGATCCAAATTCTGTGAAAGGTTTTGCATTGGTTTTCATTGAGTCCGCAACTGAAGTTCATGTTTTACTCGTTCACGCATCTCAAATGATCTTTGGTTCATTCAAACCCCTCTTTGAAGAACCAACAATTCTAGTTAGAACTTTGTCATTTAAGTCCTCAAAAAGCAACATAAATAGAGATAAATATGTTGCTAACTTTTAGATATAGGTGTTTGAAAAATATGTTTTGGTATCAAGTGTACCATATACATTATACAAGGATAAACCGTTACTTAGATCTAGTTCGGGATTCAATAGTTGTTTATAAGTGAAAATTTCCTCAGCACTTTATATCTTTCTCTGAGAACTTCGGGGTTGTTTCAAGAATTCCTAGGCAAACAGCAGTATTAAATTATTTATCTTCTGGTGGCAGGGCGGGGGGTGAATTTCCAACCAAAGTTTTATACCCCAGTGAACTGGTAAAAGTAAAAGCTGACTCCCCATTGATAGCTTTATAAAAAGTTAAACTAAATTATGAGACAAATTCTGTGGCTACCTAAAAAGACTACCACTTCCTAGTCAGTAATATCACCAGTTAACACGTAGGTCAGACATAGAGGAAACTACTAATTTAGGTGAAGAAACTCCCTAAGAACTGAATCTAGAGAAAAAAATGAAAGCCATACCTCAAGCTTAAAATTTTGATGTTTTTCTTTTTCATCTTGGCGGTCAGATTCTGCTTCAGTATATTCATCATGCTCTTCTTGGTCTGCCTTTTCAAGTACTACTTTTATAGTCTCACCAGTCCTTGGGATATATCCAAACGCCTCACAGATAAAACCTGACACTGTCTCGTATTGATGACCCTGTCACAAAACAGGCAAAAAAATAGGCCGTCAAAAGTGTATTTAACACTCGAATGGCTACTCCTTTTTGACCAAGCAAAGCAAGGAAAAAAAATAGAAAAAAAAAATTATGCCACTAGACAGGCATGAGTTCATTTTGCCTGGACTTCATAGATAACCAAACCAAACCAAGCCAAACCAAGCCAAGCCTTAAGTCCCATAAAATGGGGTCGGCTACATGAATCATTCTTCTCCACGCGGCCCTATCAAAGGCCAATTCATTAGTCAAATTAAGTAGATTTATATCTCTATTTACAACGCTAGCCAACGTTAATCTAGGCCCACCTCGTCTCCTAACACTTTCATCTACTGTTACAAAATTGCATCTTTTCACTACTGTCTCTGTTAGTCTCCGTTGAATATGACCAAACCATCTCAATCGATTCTCTCTCAACTTATCTTCTATCGGTGCTACTCCTACCCATTCCCGAATACACTCATTCCTAATCCTGTCTTATCTAGTCTTGCCACACATCCACTTTAACATCATTATCTCAGCCACGCTCATCTTATCTACATGTTGTTTCTTGGTTGCCCAACATTCCGTTCCATACAACATTGCTGGTCTAATAACCGTTCTATAGAACTTACCTTTTAGACTAGTGGGTATTCATTTATCGCACAGTGCCCCAGACGCACTTCTCCATTTACACCATCCCGCCTTAATCCTATAGGCCACATCCGCATCAATCTCCCCCGCTTGGACTTCATAGATGAAGATATTAATTTCAAAAATGGAAGGGAAAAAAAGGAAGGAAAGAATCTCCAATAAAACTAGTAAAATAGTAACAAATGATGCATAAAAACTAATTACCTAGTGATGCAGGACAAGTAGGGACAGCAGTAACAATGTGCTTTGGGGCTGATTTTAATTGGGGTTTTATGGCTGAAATTGCAGTAAGAGTATAGGGGTTTTAAAGGTTTGTTTAGGGTAATAAAGGGGTAAGAGTACAAGTATGAAAACATGAGATTTTGGCACTATTCAGGAGCTGCTTTAAGTGCTGTGAACAGTACCCGTGAACAGAGTTTGAGTGTCTACACGAGGGAAAGATGGAGAAGAGGAAGATAGTTTCTAGGAATCACTCTTAGAGGCCTTAGGCATCACACCCAGGATTTGATTGCATCACACAATCCATAAGAAAGCATCAAAGCTCTTGAAAATCTCTAAAATATCAACTTTATTAAATTACAAGCATTACATGACTTTATATAGACTATAGAGACTTCCTTTATCAACAAAGATTCTAAAATAGAAAACTACTAAAATTGCCAGTATATTAATTTGTCCTTTAGTATTCAAATGTTATTCCATGTCAAGATAGTAACAGAATTGTGTTAAGAATAAGAATGGAAATAAAAATAAGGTATTTGAACTTAAAGCTCTCTTTGGTTCATGGATTTGGTTAGAGCAAAGGAAAAAAAAATCCAAAAGGAAATCAGTATTCATTTGTTTGGTTACCATGGAAAACAATGAGGAAAATAAAAAGTAGGAGGAAAAACACAGAGGACCCCAATTTTTACGTAGTTTGCATAAAGCACACCACATAATTGAGTAAAGCATAAAGAAATTTAATTATCAAGACCAACAATCAACTGATTATCACAAGAGAAACATGAAATACCTCGGGCATTTTAATATTGAGATCTTCAGAAAGCTGGTCAATTGATGTATTCGCGTCCACATCATATATTCCATCTGCTCGCATTACAATATAGCCAGTTTTTTTCTGGATTTCCTCCTGTAATACAGCAAAAGAACATATATAAAATTAACAGTAAAGGTTGGAGTGCAATCCAGGTTATCAATTATACATAATAAAGGCACTAACTACTTCTATACCCACTTTAAAAGTTGGCAATATATGTATATATATATATAAAGCCACACACACACAAGTTTCATCTGATGTTGCAATGAATCTATTCATAATGGACCGATGTGGTCTTGCTAGTCACCATTCAGCAATTTTGATCTTCAAAGGCCTGGAGCCCCAATTATTGGCCATTTTAAAGGAGCAACTTTCTTCCCTTCAAAACCTTAGAAACTCCATTAATCAAGAACTAGCAAAGTCAAAACACAATTTGGCCTTCACAAAGAAGTAAAAACTCCATACATTACATTATCTTCTTCCAAGAATGTTTAGGGAACAATATAAAATAAGATGGTGGCAATATCTCATGTGTACTGACAAAACAATTTACTGAAGTTGGCAGAAAACAAATAAGGTTGATAATCAAGGCTTAAATTATGAATGTCTACAAATTTCTAATGAAAATCACAATCTCTCCACCAGACTATCTATATGCGGTGAGTTCTATTTATCAGCCCCATTGAATACGAATACTGTTGCAGTAAAGTATTTTTACATTTTTATTAACAAGCATCACTTCAATCGCAATTCCATAGACTTGAATGTATATAAAATCAAGAATGAATGTATAGAAATTAGTAAGAGAAGAATTATGGATATCTTCAAATAGTGAACACAAAAACATGCGAAGTTTAAAGGAACCTTACTTTTGAATCATTTTCATCAAAGATTTCACCAACAATTTCCTCAACCACATCTTCTAGGGTTACTATCTGTTTCATCCAAGGAATACAAGAAGAAGTTAAGTTCCAAATATGGACAGAAAAAAACGAATCCTTGAACATAATGATGAAAGGCTTAACAACACAACATATGTAAGCTACAAATTCATGGTATCACACGTTAAGCATAATTTTTTTTTACTATCTAAAGTTTGGGTGTATACATACTCCAACAGTTCCACCATATTCATTAAGTACCACAGCCATGTGGACCTTCCTGATGCGAAACTCTCTGAGAAGGTTCCAGACTGACATTGAATCTGGAATATCGACAGCAAATCTATATGTAATTCATTTACTTCTATGATTGTAAGTTTATCAAGTCAAAAAATGACACTAAACAAAAACTTGAAAACAAGAAGTCCACCCTTCTTCACAAGACAGTCTAATAAATTTCACAAATTAAACCAGATGATCAAACTTTAGAGTTTGCATTGATTTGTTTCAACCAATGAATTAATAGAATCTGAGCAATAATTTGATTTAGAAACCCTAAAACACAAAAGTTACAAGTGCATGGAGATTGAGTAGCATAGCAAATGTTAATTTGGCCTCAGATGTTTCATCGCAACATTATTCATATAATTAATTCAATTATTAACTACAAATTCTATTGGCCACTATGAAGCATAGCCATATTTTCCACGTGTCCAACACCAACATGCCTCGTACAAGCCACAAGGTGTGTCCCATTTTTTCAATAATTTTTCTCCAATTGGACATGTTGGGGACATGACACAGACACATGGATACACCCCAAGATACAATCATCTTTCCATGAGTTGTAAAAATAGTCATCATAAATTCATAATCACCACCTAAAAAGCACAGACACTTCTATGGACGAGGCATGCCATGTCACATCTGACCTAGAAGAAGATGAAGTGACAAACAAATTATCTACAGTAGTTTCAACCATATAACAAATTTTAAATATATTGGTGACTCTCAACCTTATTGTCTACGTACCTAACAAGGACCACATCATGCCAATACCTAGGCAACCACATAAATTATACCTAGGGAATTGCCAAATGATGTGTATCTAAATTTCATTCTTAAGAGTATCTCCAACGTTGCATCAAACTTTTCATCAAATTTTTAGGCAACCACATAAATTATACCTAGGGAATTGCCAATGATGTGTGTATCTAAATTTCGTTCTTAAGAGCATCTCCGACGTTGCATCAAACTTTTCAACAAATTTTTAGGCAACCACATAAATCATACCTAGGGAATTGCCAATGATGTGTGTATCTAAATTTCGTTCTTAAGAGCATCTCCGACGTTGCATCAAATTTTTCATCAAATTTAAATAAAAATTTGATGAAAAGTTTGATCTGATACAGTGCACTCCAACGATAAATTCAAAATTTTCATCAAATGCCCGGTTGTTTGGGATGATGTCTAAGAGGACATCCAGGTGGACGTCCGGACATGAGAAAAAATTGGGTTCAGATAAAGAAAGCCCGGTTGTCCGGGAGGACATCCAACCCAACGGTCACCTACAAATTTGATGAAAGGATAAATGCTCCCTTCATTTGATGAAAAAAGTACAGCTCCCTTCATTTGATACCAATCTGATGAAACGGTTGGAGCACCATTTTCATCAATTTTTCATCAAAATTGAATTTGATAAAAGATCTAATGCAACGTTGGAGATGGCCTAAGAAGTGCTAAAAAAAAAGTAAGCCATAAACAATCTACAGGATATTTCAACAAAAACAATAGTTTAAAGCGCCAACCAAAAACTTACCAGGAACAAAATATGCAGGTTTGTGTGCCATATGCCCCACAACAGAACTCTCTAGTAGCTCCCCCTTCAAAATCAAACAGATTATAATTCTGCACACATATATAATTACAAAAAGGGTAAATTATAATTTAACCCTCTGCGGTTTGCCTCAAAAACACGGAGCCCTCTATAGTTTTATTTGTAACACTTAAACCCCCTATACTTCATACCAGAGTGCAAAATCCAACAGAACTGTTTGTTTAAACAGTGCGTGTGTTGCATGACCAGAACTGGTGAGTGTAGCACATTTTTCCTCCCAAAAACATATGGCAAATGACCAAAACACCCTTATTGCCATATATATACACAAATCAAGACCCAAACAACATAGAACCCTACTGAAATTTTCCCAGATTGTCCAAAAGCTGCCCAGATTTTCCCAAAGTTGAAGATTATTGTTGGATGGCTTCTTCATTTGCTTCCGAAAGTGGACAGTCACGGACAAATGCTCCAAGACTATGTTATTGTGGAGAGAGATCTCCTGTGAAGCCTTCAATGACATCTGGAAATATGAGTAGAAGGTTTTATGGTTGTGCAAAATATGGGGTAAGCAAAACTTAATTTTTTTTTTTTTTTTTGTGGAAAAAAAGATTGAATTTTGTTTGAAAAGGAATTTGTGGATTCATATTTTTTATTATAGGTAGATGCAACTTGTGGCTACTTTGAATGGGTTGATCCACCTATGCGCCAACGTGTGACGAAGGTATTGCCAAAGATGGTTGCAAAGATGAACAGGTTAGAGAAGGAACTAGCAAGGAGTCGTAGAAGGAAGAAAATGTTTTGCAAAGCTCTGTTTGAGACATGGGTTTTTTTCTTTATCATGACAATGTTTTGGGTGAAGTTTGCTGGAGTGAAGAAAAATGGGTTGTTATTGGGCCATAGAGTTTGAGAGATGAAAAATATAGTCAAGGTAGAAAATGAAGGTGTACAATGATCTGTGAAGCAATTGTAATAAAAGAATGTTTTGGTCAAGAAATGTATGCATCTGATGAACTAAAGAAATTGTAATGAAAGAATGTTTGTTGATTACATCTTCCAAGAATATTAAAGAATAAAAACATATTGGTTCCCATTGTTCCCCCTATTTGAAACATGCTTCATTTGCTTCATACAAAGCAATTTTAGCAAGTAAACCTGTGTATTAATAAAGGTACACAAAACAAACAATAAGGTACACAAGCTACAATTCAAAAACATGCTTCAACCCAAAAACATAGTAAACTAAGATACTATTGTATACTAAGATACATGTATTAATAAAGGTACACAAAAACATGCTTCCCATTGTTCCCCTATTTGAAACATGCTTCATTTGTTTCAATTCACATTACTTTAATACAAGCCATAATTCAACCCACTGGGCTTCTCAAAACATAGTAAACTAAGATACTATTGTTTACTAGCTAGTTTCAAATTAAAAAACAAATTGGTACAAGCCACTTAATGGTTTAACAAGTTGAAAATTACTCAAAACACAACAAAAGCTTACTGAAAACAGAAAAACAGATGCCTAGTCCATCATGCTTTCCCTTTGCCTTTGTCAGTTTGCCTCTGAGTTGTAGCTTTTGCAGACCTACCTCCTCCTCTACCTCTTGTAATGAAGCTACCTCTCAATGCAGATCTGGACATAACCCTGCCACCTCCAACTGGTTCACCCCTTCCTCTGCCATAACTAGTGGGCTGCAAAGCAACACACACAAGTATCCAATAACATTTTGTGAAATACTATAAAAGCAAATGAACTTGTGAGTTATGGAACTTATTGCATCTTTACAAGGTATTCCAGTCAAATCCCACATCCTACAACTACATTTCCTTTCCTCCAAATCAACAATATGTGTGGTATCACCACAATCTACTTAAAATTTTCTGTCACCACAATAGGTTGCAAAACAATTCCTAGCTTGCACTTTCAGTGCTTCCAAATCTTTGACAATGTTGGGACAAATTTCACCAGTGTATTTTTCCATCCCTTCCTTCTTGATTTGGATCCTGTGCATTACCCTCCTAATCCATTCAAGCATGCTGATTATGGGTTTGTCCCTAGCTTCCAAGATGTTGTTATTGAATGACTCACACATGTTGTTGACCAATGTATCACACCTACTTCTTGGGCTGAAATGGGACCTAGTCCATAAAGTAGGGTCTATCTTCCTTAGCCACTTGTATGCTTTCTCTTCTGGATCCATCTCCTTCAACTTGTTCACGTGAAATTCAAATTCCCTCACAGTCCCAACTGCAGCTGCCTTCCACAATAGGTCCCTCAATTCAATCCCTTTGAACTTTGCTCTGAAATTGGAGTAAATATGCCTCATACAGAACCTATGTTCCACATTTGGCATTATCTCCTCAAATGCAGGTACCAACCCCTTCTGTCTGTCAGAAATGAAGACCCATCCCATGTCATCAGCACTACCAATATCGTCCATGAGTTGCCTTAAAAACCACACCCAAGAATCTTTACTTTCTGTCTCAACAGTTGCCTATGAAATTGGAAAATAGTTGTTGTTCCCATCCCTTCCAAGTGCACATAATAATTGTCCAACATAAATTCCTTTCAAATGACACCCATCCAATCCTATAATGGGCCTGCATCCTCTAACAAATCCTGTTCTAAGGGCTGCAAACCCAACATATAACCTCTAGAAAACTGGAGGAAATTCTAAGTTGGGACTAAGTATGTCTTCATTGGGCCTATCCACCACTACTTGCATTACACTGTTTGGATTATGCAGCCTCACTATTTCACAGTAATCATACACCTTTGCATATTGGACCCTTTGATCCCCTTCAATAACTTCTCTTGCTTTTTTTTTTTAGCCCTATACAATTGAGGCCTACTAACATCAACCATGAACTCCCTCCAAATTGTGATGTTAGGGTTATCCCTTAACTTGTCCATATACTTGTGTGCCAAGTAAGTTGAGTTCACCAAGTGATTATTATATGACCTTCCACATGCATGCTTTGGCTAGAATGATTTTATTTGAAAAGTTCTCTCACCTTGCATGGGAGAAGCATGCAATCTCCATCCACATCCACATCCATGCTTGCACACTACAGTAATCCTAGAGTTGTCATTCCTTATGTACTCTATGTCATAACCACGTTGGATATTCCACTCTTTCATTGCCTTTCTATAAATTTGAGGGGTGGCAAACTTCATTCCAAGTTTGAGTTGTGGCTTCTTCATATCTACTTCCTCAATGAACTCAGGATATTTATCTTCACATTCCTCATTTGATGAGTTATGTACACTATGTAAATCTTCATCCTTAGGATCAAAATACCACCCTTCATCTGCCTCTTGATCACATGAAGGAGGTTGCCTCTTTTTTTTCTTTACAGTCTCCCTTGGTGAGAAAATATCATCATCTTCTAGCCCCTCTAAACTCTCATTCAACCAGCCAGGTTCATCACTTTCATAGTCTTCATCTTCTGAACCACTATCAACATTCCCATCATCCATGTAATCAAGATCATCACTATTTTCTTCATCCCAAGCCATTTCCTCATCTTTGACATCTTCATTTGTTGCTCCTTCATCCCCATCTCCATTATGCATTTCCTCATCACCTACATCTTGCATTCCATCTCTACAATCCATCTCTTCACTTATATTTTCCATGTCATTCCAAGTCAGTGCCTGCTTAGCACTAACTGGTACTCTTGGGAGTACCAAATGTTTCCCTTTTGGACTTACCACTTGTAATGGGTCCTGACCCTTCTTCACATATAATTGAATCACATCTAAACCTTCATACTCACATATCATGGTATATACATCAACATCTTCTTCAATTATTGTCAACCCATCATCCAAAGTTTTCCCAGATTTCCTATACCACAAAACAGAAGTACTATAGACATCTATTTTCATCTCCCTCAAGATGGTATGAATCTCAATAAAAGACAGTTTGTCAGGATCAACATCATATATATATTCCACTTTCCCTTGTTTATAACCAATATTTGGAGGCTTACTGAAGTACCCATTATAGTTGATCTCAAAAATCATTTTTTTTTACCTCACTGCAGAAAACAACAAAATTTCACAATATTACATTACAAAACTCAAACTCATTGGGACCGCATAACAACAATTATAATCCTTGGACCACATATCAAAATATATGAATGGAATATATGAATACAACTATAGAATACCCCATCTAAAAAGTCCACATCATAAAAAAAATACAACGTTAACATCATAAAAAAATACCTATTGTTTATGAACCTCTATACCCCACCCCACCCCACTTTAAACAAATCCCAAAAAAATAAAGTAATAAAAGGCATGAATACTAAAGTATACAAAAACAAATCTGTGAATAAAAAATACTCAAAGTTTAACATCATGAAAAAAATTCCCCATTATTTATGAAGCTCTATACCCCAGTGTTTTTAAAGGCTCAAGGCGCACTAAGGCACTGAAGGTCTCTCGGGGCTTAGGCGCAAGGCGAGGCGCGGGCTTTATTGAAGTAAGGCGCACAGTTTTCGTAAAAAATAGAAAAATTAACATAGACTAATCATTCATAATACTAAGACAATTTTTTAAAAAATAAAAAGTAATCAAGATTTAAGACAAACTATAGAATAATTCTCAAAGCCATGAAAGTGCATATTACATAACATTCCAATTTTCAAAGATAAAATAATCCACATTCAATAAAATAAAAATAAAAACATAAACACTAAACATCCAAAACATAAATATCCAACAAATACTAATATACATCTTAATACTTAAAAACATCAATATCAAAAGAAAGGGTAGGCTAGGTCGGTGTCAGTCAATCATCATCCTCAACATCAATGGCAACATCTTCTTCTCCATCAGTTGATTTATATCCCTCAACATCTTCCTCCTTTGTGTCATCTGAGCCCGCTTCCTCTTCACCTCTTCACCTCTTAATTGAAGTGGAGTCAATGTTGATGATTTAGATATCATCGGTTGTGCCTTTGAGCGTGAACTTGTTGCTCTACTTGCATGGCTACTTTCTTCTACTCCAGAAGCTCTAG